AAAAAAAAAAAAAAAAAAACTGAGAGATCCAACCTTATTGTAGAAGTAAATTGGATGGATCTAGGGTTTTGATTTAATCGTCCGATCAAAAGAAACAAGAAAAGAGGGAAATGAACAACAGAGAAAAAATGAGAAATAGAACGGTAATAAGATTTGAGAAGCTCAAGCCTTTATACCAACAAGACGAATTTGGCTCGTTTGCGCTCGTCTATATATATGAAGCCGATGGAGATGAAGATATGTGAGAATGCTTATATACCTGTGGCTGTGCGTGTTTATGCTTTATACGAGAGAGGAGAGAGGAGGGAGATGGAGAAGGGCCTTTGGGCTTTGCAGGACTGTGACTTTTGACGAGGCCCAGTTGCATCTCAAAAAGGTATCGGTAGTCCAAAAGCCCAATAATACTTTGGCAACATACATTTTTATTACACTTTTCATAAATAAAAACTCAAAAAAAGGCAAACATTTGAAAGGTTTAGTTATGTCTAAAATATGTGTTTTAATTTTCAAAATATGAATTTTTATTCTGTATAATCATGTTTAATTTACGTTCGTCGCTCTTAAATTTATACATTTGTTGACGGTCAACCGCCAATGATTATTAGCTACATTTTAATAGGCAGTTTAATCAAAAGGTTACCGAACAAATAATATCATAAGGCCTCATTTACTAGTTTAAATCTATAAAATGTTATTTATTAATTTAAAAAATATTTTTCAATATAAAATAATTTTATTTTATTTAAGATAATATTATTTAATTTATAAAATATTAACTTAAATAATTTTATTTAGTTTAAAATAATTTTATTTAATCTAAAATAATTTATTTAATTTAAAAAAATATTAATTAATCTATAAAATATTAATTTAATTAATTTTTTCATATAAAAATATTGTTTAATATAAAATAGTTTTATTTAATTTAAAAATAATACTATTTAATTTATAAAAATGTTAATTTAATGTATTTATCTTAGACTTTTATTCACTTTGGTAAAATGGGACAATTTCTATCCAAAATTTAATGTGGCAAATTGGAGGGATAATTTGTCCAATCCCATCAACTCTAGTAAATGAGGCCTAAAGGAATTATAACAGATTAATGATGGGGTAGTAAAGATGATAAATGAAAACCTGAAATGGGACAAATACAGGAGTGGGACACCGATTTTGTCGATCTATAGATGAGATCGGCAAGGAGAGTATGATTCTTTGAAAAAGCATATTGATAGTATATGTTGTGTGTGTGGTATTTTTCATAGGATCGTATTTTTGCGAGGGGCATCAGTTGTTGTATTTATACACGGAATGTTAGTGTGTATACTTAAAGCTTAGTTTTTTTGCGTAATAAATACTACATTCATGTTGGATGAAAATTATGTTTAATTAAATTGTTTTACATTCCAACATTTTACATTTGGATATTGTGGCTAGTCAGGATGGACAGAATATCATATGTTGATTACTTGTAAAACTTAAATAATTAGTTTCACAATCTACATAGAAATGAATGACTCATTAAATGGATTGCCCTAATACAGTGTGTGTACTAAATTGAGCTCGGAGAAAATAACTTTTTTTTTTGTATATATATTGATCAAGTAAACGAACTAGACCTTGGTTAATTCCTGTGTACTCTTAACCTGTAAGATATAAACAAACACATGCATACAATAGTTGCTACTCTGATTCACCAAAAACAGAGATCCGTTAGACCAATAATCTAACGTGTTTTGGGTAGTGATATTATGTGTATGGTGTGATACTCGAATATTTACGGTCACCATGTTCGATAGTTTGATGACGTCGGAGATCATGTCAGAGAGCTCGAAAATGGTCTAACCGCGCAGCCAAGCCGCACCATTGAACACTACACAAAATGAACCCAAACCCAAATACACCGTAAGAATATTGGTTTGGCATCGTCCGACAAACCGTAGTGTTTTCTAGAAGATTCCTTATTAAGCAAGCAAAATAAACTAAGGGAAGTTTTTCTATTTATTTACTTGTGATTTAATTAAGTTCCTAATATTTATTATTAATAGTATATGGTATATATTTATTGTAGTATGTATTATAGAATCCTAATCTATTACTATATAAAAGAGCTAAAGAAAAATACATAATTAGTAAGTCATTTCCCGCTCATTCTTTCGTTTTATATTATTTGTGGTAACTTTTCTTCGAAAATTTTGAATTATCCTGCTTGTGATGTTTTTTTGAAAATTTTGAAGAGATAAAAAGATCACATGAAGATTTTTTGGAGATTCCATATTATCTAACTTCCATACAATAGGAATAGGTCACTTGTCTCATTTCAATTGGTCCACTATAAATTTTATATGATAAGATAAGTATAACTCAAATTATTGATACTATTTTATATTAAAAAATAAAATAAAAAATATCAAAATTCATATTTTTTTCGTACTTTATTAATAGAGACCACTCTTGATATGTTTTGGAACACAATTGAAATTATTATGTTGGGTTAGATTGCAGATAAAATAATACCAAAAAATGTATTATTGATAACACTTATTAAATAAATAAATAAAAATAAAATAAATATTAACTATCTTTATCGGGTCACCAACTAAAAAACAATAAAAGAAAAAAAATAGCAAAATCTGCGACCCAGGTCAAGTTGTGACCCTGGGTTGCAACCTAGTCACAAGGAGGGTGAGAGAAATGAGGTGAGTGGAATTGGGCAAGTGTCCCATTCTTATTGGTCTATAAATTTTTTCTATAATAAGATAATTGTAACTCAAATTATTGATATTAATTTATATAAAAGAACAAATAAATTTATTTTTTCATTCTCTATAAATAGAGACTACTCTTGATATATTTTGGAACATAATTGCAATTTCTCTCTTTTCACTCTTTTTTCTTAATCGTAACTTATCAATTTTAACATATCTTTTATTTTATCATATCACAACTAAAATAATAACAATTTTTTTTTATAGATAATATTTAATAAATAAATAAATAAAAATAAAATAAATATTATGTTGGGTTGAGTTAGGTTGGATTTGGGATAAAGATATGTAGGTTGTTAGAAGTTAGATTGTGTAGGTAGAAGAGAGAGAAATAATTTTTTATTATTGGGTTGGATTGGGTTGTGGATAAATATAGTCTTATGTTGAGTTGGGTTGCTGGGTTGAGGATTAAAATATGTAGATTGTTAAAAGTTGAGTTGTGTAGGTGGATGAGAGAGAAATAATTTTTTATTAATGAGTTCGGTTGAATTGGGTCGTGGATAAATATAGTTTTAGTGCACAAAAGTTGGTGAGGAGAAATCATGTTTTTTTTTTCATGTGTTTTGGACATGATTTGAACTTCTAGGATTCTCAATAGTTATATTTTGGAGATCATTTTTTTCCCACTTTTGTGTTTATTGTATGATAATTACAATATTTATCAAACTTTTTAAATATCTGAATAATCTTTATTTAAACTAAATAACATGTTTTTAATTTTTAAAATTTTCGTTCATCCCATTTAAAGCAAGTTTTTTGAAATTGCAAATGAAATTGCTTAAAATAAATATTGTATGGTTTTGATTTGTTAAAGAAAAAATAATAGTTCTACTTTAAAGTTTGGATTCGTTCCATTACTTTATGTACATTAACAATCATAGATTAGTTAATTGATTTAAAAAAATCAAAATAAAAGGTCCAATAATATTCATTAAATAAAATATATTGCATAAAGAGAAGTGTTTAATAATATATAATTTTTCATTGTTTTTATTTATTTTAGTTCTGTAATGAGATGAGATGTAAAAAATATAAACAATTATATTTAAAATAAAGTCTAAAAAAATGTTTAAAATATGAGCTCCTCCGTGCATCGCACGAGATACACACTAGTCCTTTAGGAGAAAGATTACATAATATATATCTTATATATTTACTTACCATATATGTCACATGCCATAATTAGTTCTCTCTTTCTTGTAGGACAAGGAATAGGTAAGGACTATGAAATGATGAGTTATCCACACAAGAAGAATTATGAACGTTCATGAGAAGATCTAAAGAGAATTTGAAAAGATTCACCACAAGATCTTTAAAGATTTGGAAGATCGACTATTTTAGGAAAGTCGTGTTCTTACATCAGACTGGGAACACAAGATTTCCATAGGAAGCCCAATTATGAAGATCTCCAAATCACATACACGAATTCCACATCAAGGAAACTTACTTTACATGAAGGATTTCGTCCAAATCAGGAAAGAATCATTTGAGAATGAAATTGACTGCTAAAAGGAAAATGAATAACTTGTAAAGACTCCTTACCTTAAGGAGATTGTTGTATATAAGCCTACTCAAACAATCAATTGAAGACAAAAGAGCTGTTGCAAATCGTTCATCATTCATCAAGATTTAATTGAGTGTTTGAAAGATTTTTATTCTTTTTATTATTGTTTGTTACAACACTTCAGCGTTCTTACATCGTTGACGAACTGAGTTTGTTTAGTTTCTTTTTCTTTTTACAAACACTTTTAGGTGCTTAGGGATTAAGTACTGGGTTTGCTCGAGGGATTCAAGTGTGTAAAGTCTACGGGACGTGGCCAGGGAAGTAGTTGATAGGATCGGGTATAGTGTTGGCTAGACTAGGAGGGAGTCAGAGTCGATTAAGTCCAAGCTGTATTTTGTGGGACGCAAACCGATTTATCAATGAAAGAGCTCTGAGGTAGTGGGACGCTCCCCGAAGAAATATTTTTTATATTGCTTCCGCTTTTAAGTTTTATTTTCTTATGTTGCAACACGATTTAGTAATCCAGAATTTCTGTGTTCTAACACAAGCTGCGTACTCTATACTCCCCCACTATTGTTTCATACACCAACAGCCCGATGGTCTCCAGGGACTAGGGCCTGACGCAAATGACCGGCGATCCTTCCTTAGCAAGGAGATGGCGGATCAGCAAGCACCAATCCGGACCATACATTCGCAAGACCTTGGATGCAGCGGAAAGAAGGTCCACCAACCCCGCTTCGGTGGGAACCGGCTCCGGAGACGCGGTAGCAGGTAACTGGTGAAGGAGTGGCAGCAGAATCAAAGGAGAAGCCGCTGGTTAAACAACAAAAGTTAATAACTAAAAAAACTCCACATTGTTTTATTACATCCGTCAGGTCAAACCTAGTATGACCATTTATTACAACCATCTTGATATCATAGATTTAAAAAATTGACATTCATTACATCCATTCATGTGACAATTAAAGCTAAGCTACCTATGTTATCAAACTATGGTAGTGTTAACTTGAACGACCAAAGGGCTCCTAACCTGATGATAGCCATTAGACCACATAATAAAACCGAAATCATATCTTCCTTGAGATACTTTTAGTGGTTTTAGAGTCACATGGTAAGTTTTTTCTTGATTGAAATACAAGAATTTCAATTTTATGGGCCAAACCTCAACCTCAACCCCATTTGGGCTCACAATGCTAACACTGTAAGTAGTTTGCTTTGTATCTCCCACATTGCGAACGGTCCTTTTGATCGTGGTTGGACCTTTGAGGTTCGAAATCGATATTGATGGGTAATTCATGTCCCAATCATGCTCGCGTTGGGGACCGGAACATGTTCTCGGGCATTTACTACGCGGTTTGCAGTTGACCATGGTTCGTATCTGTTTTTCGGTATACCCATTGTTGCATAGGAAAATGAAGTAATCACGAGTAGACAAGTCGTACACTAATCCTGGATGAAATGCCTTTAATGGGTTTATGTGGCCAGCACCAATGTCAAAAGGACCCGAAGATGCCGTTGATCCTTGTACTAATATGGCATCACCACTTACGTCCGTGTTATAAGCTGACAACAGAATCAAAACGACAATAGTATTAGTATATATGAGAAAATATAACATTGCAAGTATATTGTAGTATATGAGGTGTTTGTTAATGACCGGTAGTCATGAGGGCAGATCTAATTGCTGCTGGAGACCAATCTGGATGCGCAGATTTGAGGAGGGCAACGACACCCGACACATGGGGACAAGCCATTGATGTCCCAGAGTCGAAGTTCCACTCAACGGATCTATCGTCAATATCTTTGAATTCTGATGGAGCAATGTTGGGAGGCCATGCTGCTAATATGTTAGTTCCTGGAGCACTAATGTCGGGCTGCAGCAAATAAGAATAGTAAGAACCAAACTAAACATGTGAAAAACTTTACTAAAGTTTACCTTAAGAATATTAGGGGAAACCGAGCTTGGACCTCTTGAAGAATAGCTTGACACCACAGGTGCCGGTGACCGATTGAAAGCTGTTTGACTAGGTACTATTTGCACCATGGTGAGGCTTCAAAGTGAATGTCGTATATTTTAGTTACTAATAATATTATCAGTCAACACTTTGAGTTTTAAATTGTAATGACTATAGAGACTGACTTGGAATGTAGAAACAATGTTTTCCCTTGGATGACGTCTATACGTATGACCGGGATTATGCTGGCTACGGCAAGTGGCCATGTCAATGCCTGGACAAATATAAGTGCCGAGGCATTGGCTTTATAGGCTGCATACTCTGCCACACCACTTTCCAACTGTCCGTCTGTAGCGTAGCACAATAGTATCTTGCCCGAAGCATCTATGTTTCTCCAGTTGCGTATATTACATATCCTGTAGCATACACAAACATAAGTATAACGATTTGTTCCTTTGTCTTCTGTGTGTGTGTGTGTGTGTGTGTGTGCGCGCGCTGTAATCTAAGGAGGGTAAAGTTACACACCCATTGTAGAAGTAATATATAGCTCTTGCCAGGAGTCCACTTATAGTGTTGGCTATCAGACCCTCACCCTGCTCATTTCATTTCATGTCATATACAAAAACAAAAAGGATTTAAAACAGTGAGTCAGTGATTGGTCTCATTAATTACCACAAAGGAAGTCCCATCTTCCATGAGAATTGTGGTGGGAAAACTCCGATCCAGAGACGAGGCAGCCACACAAATGCTCCACGGGTTGACATTTGCCACAAGGGAAGGATCGGGGCCTGAATTTCCAGCCGAAAGCACCACACTAATACCATTCTGCATCGCATGAAACGAGCCGATATCTAAACTCAGCGCCACAAACTCCATCAGAGGCGGCTCCTTACCAATCGATGCCGAGATGACATGGACCCCATCGTGCACCGCATCGTCGAAAGCCGCCAGCACGTCCTCCTCCGTGCAGACTTGCCCATAGTCGACATTCCAGCAGGCCTTGTACACCGCCAGCCTGGCCCTGGGGGCTCCACCACGCGCGATGCCCCGCCCAAACCCCAAGAAGCTCGCACCGTTGGATCGCGATCCTACGGCGATGGAGGCCGTGTGGGTCCCGTGCCCAACAGAGTCCCGAGCGGACCTGTATTCTCTCGAGTCGTTGTTGATCGGCCAGAACCTCCTCTCGAAACCTGCAAGGTAGTACCGGGCACCGATCAGCTTCCTGTTGCATGCCGTGCTGGGGTTGAATTTTTGCCCCGAGACGCATTTTCCCTTAAAAGACTTTGGGATGGGCCCCATGTGGAGCTCCTCTTTGAAACTAGCAGATTCGGGCCATACACCTTTCATCATCACAATAATTCCGAGCAAATGGATGCTAAAATCAGAGACAGAGTAGATACTGATATTCGACTTATTCATCGGGATGATTTTTGCAAGTGTGTCTAAAATTTACTAATAGTACCTGAGTCGATGACCCCAACAACTACATCGTCACCATGACTTAGCTGTATAGAAGTTCCTTTCGCGCAGTCGAGCGAGAGACCCATGAAATCCCAGCTTCTTGTAGTCTGCAACTGGAGTACCCCGCTTTCAAAAACAGATATTACGCCTTCGGTATCTGCATATTCATTACCTTCTTCAACTACAATATATCAGGGTATATACATTTTTGTTTTCGTTTTTTCTTTCGTTCTCGCCCTTGAAGATAACATCAGAGCCAAACTTAAAAGGAAAGAAATGCACAATGGGTTAAAGCCAAGGCTTTATTACTTGCTAAGACGTTTGCTTGGGTAGCGTTAAGCACTGCAGCAAAACCTGAAAAGGAATGCTTGTAGCTATGGATCATGGACTGCGTCGCTTCTTCTTTGCTACAAAATGAAGTCGAGAATTAACAAAATTTTATGATAAGAAAAGGGAAAAGAAAAAGATAGAGCCAATGTGCCATGTCAAGCGAGCATACACGGATCGATCACTGACTTTTAGGAATCAAGTGATTTGGTGCACATATATATAGCCACATTCCCACATAGTAATATCAAAAGCTCCCATATTTGATATGTCATTTTTCTGCAGTTAGTCACCACACCAGAAAACTTGAAACTAATGTCGACCAAGAGACGAGAACTCACCTCTCAAATACACTAGTAAGGAGTCGAACATGATACTCAGACGCATCGAGTAAATAATCCTCAATATTATGAGCGTGCCCCAAGTATACAATGTAAACCTGTGAAAACCAATACAAGCAAAAAAAAAATAAATACAAAAACACTCTTGTAACAAACACGAAATGATCTTACAGAGATTTTTTTGTTACTTTAGGAACAAAAAGAAAGAACATTGTATATAGAGAACAAGGTAATAAACCTGATAAGTGGAAATAGTCGAGGAAACCAAACATTCAAGTAAAAACGTGAGGAATAATAAGCCCCGAAAACACGACTTTGCATTCGCCATTTTACTTGATGATGCACAAAATCATGGAATCTTTACATTCACTTATATAGGTATCAAATGTTATTAAATCTCTCTCTCTCTCTCTCTCTCTCTCTCTCTCTCTCTCT